TCTTTAACCCTTAGTGTGATGCCAGGGTCCTTGGGTGGAAGTATTTCTGGAAGCTAGCTAGATGGTCCAACAGTGATTCACTGAAATCCACTTTTGCTGAAAAATAATGCCCATTTATAATTCCCTCTCCCTCAGACCTTCTTTTGTCACTACTGAGAGATAGTTCTGTTATATGACACCTCTTATTACTTGAGGTACTAAGACTTCCGCGACTCATACCAGGTAGTAAATTAAAGCCTCATCCTTTTAATGTTGCTTACAGGGCCTTAAGTCTGTTCACAGGGGCAAGAGAAAAGTACAAATGGCTGACCACAGTCCTGGACTTTTGGAGCATATATGAGAATTGTGTTGAATCCCCAGACTCTTCAAGAATGAGCTGTTTTGTCATTGTTTTGAGATCTTTGTGGCTCTCACGTCCCTCACAGATAGTCAGCTCTCCTTTTGCTGCCTAGATCAAGAGGTTGTTATGCTATGTTGACACATACTATGTATGTGTGCTTTTAAGACTTTTTCTTTAGCTTACAGAAAACATTAGATATCCCTGTAGCAGTCTTAAGTTCTCCAAAGGAAAATCAGCATCACAACCAGAGTAAAGTAAAATGCAGCAAAGCTTTTATCATTTCATTCTATCTGTCCTTTATTTAAACTTTTTGAGCATTTATTCTACTGTTAGAACTCCAAGGCTTCACAAAAGAACAGTTAGCAAATGAAAGGTTGGGCCTTGAATTTAATATATATTTTTAAAGGTTAGAATATTGATTTGCTGGATAGTATTAGAGTTTAAAAATGTAATTCTGAGGCTGTTACCTAGGAAATTGATGAAATTGAGAATTATCAACCAAGGTGGATGGAGGAAGGCCCAGGGCATTTAGTTGAGACTGTCAGAGAGTACGAAGGGTTTGTCATTTTTCTCCAGGTTATGTCAGTGCTGTTATTAAGATTGACAGGACTGAAATGGAAGAATACCTAATTGCTTGCCTCTTACACCCTGGCAAAGGGTCAAGTCATAGAGAACTGTGGTCATGACTCCTTAGTGGGTGTTAGCTCTTCTAGGTTAAAAAAGCTGGCTGCAGGAAAGCACAGTGAGAGAACAGGATCTGCTTTGTTTTATTGCTATCTTCCTACAGAATAGGATCTAAACCCGCTTGTGAACACATACAAACTACAGGATGTAAGTTTGAGAAAGTGGAGTGGAGCGGGGAAGGGTGACTGAGACTGAGAGATTTTCCTGGAGAATGAGTGGCTTGACTGTTGAGAGAGTGAGCAAGCAGCTGTTTCTCCTCATAGTCATGTGGGCAGGCAAGATGGCTGCACACCCAAGTGCAATCCAGAGACGCTACTCTCTGGTGGCCAGTGCCATATTGCATGGTGCTGACATCTTTGTATCTTTCCCTTCACCTTGGGCAGGTGAAAAGACTGAAGAGACTATTTCTCGGGGAAATTCTCTGCCTTAGTCTTTTTGTTGTTGCTATGACAGACTACATAAATTAAAAAGAACAAAGGTTTATTTTGAGTCATGGTCATCTGTGCCAGATAGCAGAGTGGGCAAATGGGAGTGGAAGGAATAGACCAAGGAGGAGGGGTTTGTTTTATAACAGCCCACTGCTGTGGTCAGTAATCCAGTTCCAGGAGAGATGCATTAATTCCATTATGAGGATGGAGCCCTCATAACCTGGTCACCTCTTAATGGTCTACTCTGTCGGGGACCACGTTTCAGCATGCGTTTTGGAGGGGACAGATGTCCAAACCTTAGCATCCTGAATGAATAATGATTTCTTAGCTGAGTATTGCTAACTACTGGGGAGCATTGATTTCAATATAGTGCTCACTTCCAAAGGACTTGGAACATTACATCCTATGTTGTCACGTAAGAACAGACTCACATGCTTTAAGAGCAGTTGAGGTGGTAGACATGTGGTTCATAAAAATATAAGACTTGTTTTTCCCCTTATTTACTTAATTTGGGGAATTTTTCATAACATGGTGCTCAGTGGTTTTCTCTTCAGTAAACCTTCTTACATTCACCATGAAGACATGATTTTCTTTTTGTCTATTTTTACTGTCTGTGTGTACCTGGCTTATGTACATTATTATCTTGCTTTACTACCTTGTATTAGAGTTTTATGTCTATGTCTCCTGCTAGGCTATAAGGTCCTTGAGGTTAGGCACCCCAGGATGGTGTCTGACATGACAAATAAAGAACGTGGATAGTGAGATTCCAGTGCATGTTAAATGAATGAGTGAATGATATCTAAGTTTTAGAGCCTACATCCAGAATGTTGTCACCATGGCCAGTCATCTGGGTGTAGTCTTTAAGACTGGGACAGTGCGTTCATTGGTGAATTCTTGGGCCCCATTCCTCTTAGATTATAGACCAGCAGCCTGGTGTGTTTCATTGTGATCAGCCATGTGCTATGTTTGATTGCTTGTTGATAATGAGTGGTGACAAGTACCGTCAGAGCAGGGCCACTTTGGTTCCAAGGTCCTATTTTTCCCTTGGTTGAACGTAAGTGGATTTTGCATTTTGAGGTGCTGGCTTATAAAACCTGGTAGCTTGTGTGTATTATTTGTGTTCTGTAGCATTTATCACTGCCTGACCTCTGTAACCCCTGGTTTCCATTTTGATCAAATGAGATTTGTGCGCAGCGAGCTGTGGATTGATGCTTAGCATATCTAATGGGCAGTGAGTTGACTGGATGGCCTTTCAGTCTTGTCTGTTCTCTTTCTCATTGCAAAATTGTTAATTTCTAACTTATCTCAAAAACTCCCTTACGTTTTTCACCTCACAAATTTAATCACTTTTGTGGAAAGAGATCTATTTTAAAATTGTATGGATTATTATTAATGTGTTTTGTTTGATATGTTAATCAGTCTTCCCTATTGAGTTAAAAGCTTCTTTCCTATTTTCTTTACCTGGCTTTTTCAATGTTTGAAAAATATTTTAGAGACAGGAAAATACAGTGTATACATGTACTGAAGCATCATGCTAGGCCGTGAATATACATAGGTCTTTGCTTTTATGTACCAGTTAAAATAAAGTTAATAAAAATTATAAAAGATTTGATTATCAAAAAAGCATGTTGAATTGAAGAATCTGTAAATTTTGTCATATTGAAATGACGTCAGAAAGAAAAATTAAAAAACTTTCTCCAGTTTGTTCCTTATTAGTCTTAAATAGTTAAGACTGGAGGCCCTCCCCTCCCTTCCCCTCCCTTCCCCTCCTCTTCCCTCCCCTGCTCCCATGTGGAAGAAGCAGTTTCCTGTGAACCACTATTTTAATGTCACAGCCACATTTTTAGTCATTGTGGGCTCTAAAAGCACTCTACTGATTTCAGCATCCGCTTCAAATACCTTTGCTGTTTTAAATGAGAAATGATGAGGCCCAGAATAAGGAGCATTGTGTTTTAAGTCACTACACTTGTATACATTTGTTACTTTGTAGGATTTTGGAAAATTGAAACTGTCATGTGAGCGACAGATAGTGAAGATTATGTATACATGTACAGAATTTAGTACTGTAGTAAAATGATTTATGACATATACTTAGTATGAGTATTTGGTACACATAGTTAAGAATAAAAGATAAGGGCATTGTATAAAGTTAGGACTACTATTTTTAATTACTGCCTCTGTTACATAACAGAGCTGGCATTTCTGCCCTAACCAAGGGGAGGGAAAGAGGACACCAGGCAGGTAGGTTCCCTAGGACTTCTCTTGCAGCCTTTGTTCCCTGACATAGGAGGGCCAGGCAAGTGTGAATGATCTCACCAAGGCAAACGCAGGCATTCTGGGAACGGATGGCTCAGATGTGCCAGCTCTTCCTTCCCTGCTGTAAGACTCACCCCCTTAACCAGCAACACCAGCAACATGAGAAATGGAAACTGGGTAGCTTGGCTCTTGTGGTCCCCTATGTTTGTCTAGGACAGTGGTGGAGAGATTCCATCTCTGCATCCCCTGGGTCCTCCAGGGCACTCCTCAGGGCTGCCTCAGTGTGCCTTCCATGGACTCCTGATGCCCTCTCTGTACTTCTGTGGCCTTCATCCTGTTCCTCTTGCAGATGGAGAGATGAGGTTGGAGGCTTGTTTCTTCTCTTTCATTCAGTGATTTTATTTCACAGCAGTGAGATTTAAAGGAACACTTCTCTCCAGGGCCCAGAATTCTCTCATCCTTGCTTGAAATTCTATTCATTAAAGATTAATTTGGATTAATTAGATGTGACCGTCAGACCTTAATAGTAACCATCCCTAGCATGTGTTACACATACTTAGTGTGAGCCAGGGGTCACTCTAAAGACTTTATATGAATTAACTTATTTAATCTGCACAGAAACCCGATGAGGAGGGTTCGCAGATGCTCAGTCACTTGCCCCATTTTACCTGGTGATGACGAGGAGAGAGCCAGGACAGAATGCAGATGGCTCTGCTCTGGGACTCAGGTCCTGAGCTGCTGTGCTGAGCTGCTCTGCTGGATCCTTAATAATGGTTTGATTTAATTGGATTGCTTTCCTCCCAACACCTACCATTGATACCTGCAGGGGTGGGACTGAAGCAAAGAGACTGGGGACGTCTTGGGGGAGACATGGTTCTAAGATGATTGTGAAGGGGGCTTTGCAAAGACACTTGGAGGACATTCTTTACAGCTGTTATTTTCTCCTATGGAGTAGTAAGAACTCTGCTTATAAGCATCTGAATGTTGGTTACCTTATAATCAGTACGGTAATTCAACCAGGGACCCAGCAAGTGCTGCTTCCTCTCTCTTTCTTTAACGTTCTAACTATAGAAATCTCTTATGTATGTTTGCATATATATATGTATATATGTGTGTGTATTTATACTTTTATGATAAATGATATATCATACTATGTATAATATATTATAAATGAAATATTTAACCTATTAAGTATTTAAATGTCACTTAAATAACATTTTGCAAATATTCTTGGAGTAAAGGCCAATGAAAAGCAACTAATTTCTATAATTACCCTTTTCTGCCTCACACAGTATTGGCTGGATCCTGCAAAAACCCTTGCGGAACACAAAGAACTGATTAACAGTAGGTATTTAATTTTGACCTTGTTAAGGGGTGGCTTGAAGGTGATAAGGTACCTGTGATCAGTTGGGTGCAGTATGGAGGTAGGGTGTGCCCGTACTTGAGTACCAGCATGCCGGTATGGGTGTTGTATGCACTGTCAGGCTCACTTCAAACTCTGATTTTATTTTAATTAGACTCTGAGTGAATATTTTTTTTGGGGGGATTATGGGAGTCCTGTGCATGGTAGGCAGGCATTCTACCACTTGAGCTATGCCATAGACCTTTTGTTTTTACTTTCTTTTTGAGATAGGGTCTCTCTAACTTTTCCCTAGCTGGCCTTGAACTCACTATCCTTTATTTCCACCTCCTGAGTGGGCAAACTTACAGGCGTACACAACTGCACCCAGCCTCCGAGGGGAATGAATGCTACATTAAATTTTTCCTAGGAGTACACCTTCCCTTGATTTTTATCTGTGATATTTCTACACGCATGTCTTTAAAATTTAACATTAAAATAGAAAAGGCAGAGAGGAATTTATTTAAAAAAGAAGGTGCTTCCCCAACTTTTAAAAAGTTTGCCTTTCTTGGGTTATGGCTTTATTACTCACAACATATCACTCAGTTTGCTAAGTCATTACTTAAGGGGTGTCCTTGTGGCCTGAAAAATTGCTATGGCTTGAGAGAGAGAGAGAGAGAGACAGACAGACAGACAGAGGCAGAGACAGAAGGAAAGGAAGAGAGAGAGACACCATGCATTGCCAGGGATTAGCTTTTGGTTTCATCAATGTGAATTTTCTAGGATACTCAGTATAATTAAGTCTATGTATTCTTTAATCTTAATGTCCATGACCCAAGTTTTTATTTATGAACACTCATACACAAGCTCTGTACGAGTACAAAAGAATGGTGCTTTAAGCATTGTTTCTTTTAGGGGAGGCTAATGGCATGGTTCAAGTGGCAGAGCATCTATCTAGCAAGCATGAGGTCCTGAGTTCAAACATCAGCACCGCACAAAAAAAGGATAGTTTCTTTTAATTATGATAAAATATACATAATATAAAATTCACCATTTTAGCCATATTTTGTGTAGAGTTCATTGGCATTAAGCACATTCCCATTGTTGTGCAACTCTCACCACCATCCATCTCCAGCATGGTTTCATCTTCCCAAACTGAGTCTCTGTATGCGTTAAGTCATTTCATTTAAATTTGTGAGTTATCGCTAATCAGAGTCTAGTGGCTTCTTCCAGCCTGTTTGGCTCCATTCCAAATCTGTGTTTTCCATTGTTATTCACTTGTTTTCTGTGGTGACATTGGTCATGTGAAGCTTCATAGATCCAAGGACGGGTTGCATCTCTGCCCTAGAAAGGAGTTGGAAAGTAGGAATTGCAAAACTGACAGAAACAAGTGCCATTTCTCCAACCTCAGCATCACTTATGCTTCTGCTTTTCCACATCTGCAGTAGAAGCCACTGGAGTTTGCAAATTACATCTTCAGCTCATTTGAACCAATTAAAAAAATACCAGTAGGAAAATTAGAAAAATTTCAAGAATGATTATTTTAAAATAAACTTGCAGATTCCTCCTATAAGAAAAAAGTTGAAATTTCTATTGATGGAATGAAGAAAAAACAAACTATTATAGGGTGCGTAATTGAAGTGTAGCTGAGCACATTTAAAGTGTCTGTTTACCTAGTACAAAATATTCTATTTAAATACGCTGTAAAAGGTCATCACTTTTTTGTTCCCCAAAATGCAATATTGTTAAAATTTTTATGTATGGTTAGAATAAAACACTATCACAATTGAAGAAAAACAGTGTCACAGAAGAATATTTTTATTTCATCTCACAAATTTGATAATTAGTGAAGGAAAATTGCTATCAGTCTCCAGTGGGTCAGTTAGGAGGAGTGTCCATAAAAATGACAAAGCATTTGCTAGTCACCAGGATTCTGATAGGCACGTCTTGATTTATTTATCCCTAAACGAAGTGGAAATTCATTCTTATCCTTAAAAGACTTGAAATTAGTCTTCATAAAAGGTAGATTAGGGTACTTCCAGTTTCTGGCTTCTGTCTTTTTTTTGCAAAAGTAAAATAAATTAGCTTCATTTGAAAAATTCCTTAATGTTGACTCTGTGGAATGACATAGATTTAAGCTAATAATTTAGTAATTTGCTTTAGTAGCACCTGATCTTCATAGTCTTAGAATAGGAAATCAAAAAATATCTGGCTAGACATATTCTTGTCCCAATCAGTCGTTTCCAGAGCTTTTGATTGCTCTGCCCAGAGTGATGTGTGTGGGAGCGCTTGCTCACTCTGGGCTCGCTCTGTTGTCCCCGAGAGGCTGTGTAGACTGGAGTGGGAACAGCACAGCGCACAAGGCCTTGGCAAACTCCCTCCGTACTCCCACAGTGTCGGGCACGTTGCTTGACTCCTCACGGCGTCACCTCTCCTGCATCAGTTCCCAGGTTGCTGGTGAAAATCAAATGTTTATGAAACATTTTTGTATGTTATCAAACACAGTCAAATGGTAATGGTGCCTTATATTTAGGCCACAAGCCTCTTTGGGTGTGTATGGGAAATAGAGGGCTAGTTTGGGCTTAATGTCCTTAAAGAAAATTAGCACTGAGTGTTTTTCATTGTCCATTTTTTTGCAAACTTCTGCTTAACTGCTCATCACGGAACATGTTTGAAATGTTGTGCTTAGTGAATAGGATGTAATCTGTCATGTTCCAGAGAACGGAAGCACCTCTGGGGTCTGGAGAAGGCCTCTTCCCTTTGTGAAGCATCTGTGCACCTTCCCGTCCCTTAGGTGCCATCCAGCCGCCTCAAGGCACAGGCAGACCCATCTGCTCAGGAACGTGCAGCTTGATTGACAAGGATGGGTCAGCCCAGGGTGGACTTCCTGGCTCTTCTAAATATTTAATGGTCTTGCCTCCCTGGAATCTGTGTTCAGCGGTAGAGGTGTATTTGTCAGAAATACGCAACGGTGCCTAAGAAAATAAGAAAATCCAACATGTGGACTCAACTGGAATGAGAAGAAATGAGAGCAAAATTTTCAATATTTTGTTTTAAAATGCTCTAGTATAGAAGTGCCCTACTCAGGAAGGATAGATGAAGGGAGAAGGATGGGCCCTGGTCTTGATCGTCATCTGTGTGCCGTGAACAGGGCCTTGGGAGATTACACAGGCATGTGCCTGTGCTGATAGTAAATAATGATAGGTTGTGTACTGCAAATGCATTACGTCCTCATTACCTGCTGACTTACTTTCTTTCCTCGGCTTTTAAATTTGTGATTTTATTTATGTAGCTAAAATGGAAATAAACTAGGATTATTTTCTGTTAGTTATGCAGTATCCAGTACTTTGAAGCACATGCTTCACATACTATTTTATTTGTGGGGGAGAGCTTTAGTTGAAGCAGAAATTACAGACCACCAGTTAGTGTACCAGGTTAAAAATCCCTTTGAAACAGAGCATATCAGATCTAGCTTGAAAATGGTGCAGATCACATTAATACCCTCTGAAACAGAAATATTTCTAGTAAAAGCATAACCTAAGGTGGTTGATAACCAAGGAAATTGTTTCCTCCTGTACAGTATGAGTGTTAGATTATTTATTTAATATTCATATATATATATTTATGTATATTTATATGTACAATTCCAAGCTTTGCTTCTGAATTTTTAAATGTTTTTGTTATTTATAGATTTAGTTCAACCGTGTGTGGTAAATGATGAGATGAGAAATTTCCTCTTCCATATGTAAGAATATATTTGTAGATTGAGAAAAGTTTAAGAATGACCTCAGTGGGCTGGTGGAGTGGCTCAAGTGGTAGAGCATTTGTCTAGCAAGCGTGAGTTCAAGCCCCAGTACACCCCCAAAAAAAGACCTCACTGGTGATTTTTTTTCTTAAAAAGGGTATACATGATAAGAACATTCTAACTAATCAGTTTAAAGATAGAAAGTTGCCAATCCCTCTTCTCAAAATTTGCCATAGTTTATAATTTCTTATGTATTTCTCCAGGAAAAAGACAACACTATATATCAACTGATATTTTACCTTTCCACAAAAGCAATGGTGTTTTTGTACTCATGAGTGTTTTTTGGTGCTGTTTTCCTATCAGCACACACAGCTATAACCTGTCTAAGTAGTTGCACAGTTGCATATACACGTCCATGGCTGTGGTTGACTTAAATGGTCCACCTGCTGCTGAGTATTTGTTTGTAGCTTTTTGCAGAGAGGTTTAAAAAAATCTTTTTTTGATAGTTGAAGTGATAGGTGGATGATTTTAAAAAATCATTTAGTTTTGCTTGTCAATACCCTTTCTTTATTATGAAATTCCTCTCTCTAAATTGTTAATGATGAGGAAAATATTAGTTAATAAAAACTATGCATAGCTTCACCAACCAGAGATAAACTAGCAACCTTTTGGTGTGATTGGCCGTGTGTCTTCTGTTTGCGCACACACACACACACACACACACACACACAGACCTATGCAAATACATACATGTAACATTGAGCTTCTACTGTGATCAGTCCTGAATGATGACTTTTCCATTTTATTTTCTTGGGTCTTTAGAAACTCTTAGTGACTGTAATTATTACTAGTTTTTAAATATTACAATACTACTTTGACTATAATGTGAAATTTAACTAATTTCTATTCCTCATTCTAGCTGGGCCTCCGTATACTTTGTATTTTGGTATTAAATTCTATGCTGAAGATCCATGTAAACTGAAAGAAGAAATAACCAGGTACAGTGTTGACTTTGTTATTAAACAAATACGTGTATGGCATATACAACAGGCATTACTGAAAATAAAAATTGGGGTCAAACATTTGGCTGTGTTTCTCTGTGCTTTGTGATGCATCTCCTGTGAGATTACATTTATGCTAGCATTGCATAAGACAGATCAGTGTCTGATGATAGATGTGTTTGCAAAATGGCAGGAACCTGGGTGGCACGATGATAGATTTTGCATCTGCTGTGATAGGATAGTCTGTGTCATTATTAAGCATGGATTCAGCCTTTGTAGTCATACAGAAGTAGCCATTTGAACTGCCTTAGGAAGAATGTTTTGATCTGCTTTTACATATGCAAATAGGTATTTGAAAAGCCAGTTATTTTCCTTTAACCAGTTGTAGCTAAAATATCAGCTATTCAGGCATTTCATTAATCTCTATAGGCAATGAAAAATAATTACTTTAATATTAAGAAAGGAGAAAAAAGACCAGTGTTTTAATGCATTAGTTTGTCTTTGCCACCAATTATTCTATCTCAGTTGTCAGAATTTCTAATGACATTGATCAGCTTGTCAAAATAGTTCATGTCACCATTTGAAAATGACTTACCAAGAGCAGACAATGGCATTATTATTTTTTTTTTAAGTTACTTGACCAGTGAACTGGTTGTATATGGTAGCAAAAACAAAAGCATTTTCCCTAACTTAATTGGTCATTTCCAGCTAACCTTTATAATGGGCTCAAATAAAGCCAATGCAGTGTTGTAAAAATTGGAAATCATACCTCCTGTAACCAGGGTAGCCTTATGGCTTTGTTTCTATTCCATCTTTCTTCCTTTCTTCTCACAGTTCTTTTTGTCTTTATTTTGGCCTGCATGTGGTAGAGTGGGAAGAGGGTAATCTCATCAGGCCTTTTCCATCTACTCAGACGTGCCCTGTTTGAGTCTCATTTTTAGATGTTTGGATGTCCGTGTTCACATCTCCCACTGTCACATTGTTACTGAGTGCTTGGAGAAGTGGATGCCAGTCCAGGCTTCCCCAGAACACACCTCTGTGGGAGAAGGACTGTTGGAAGGAGAGATGTTTAGAGGGGGTGGTATTTACATTAGATCTTCTTGGGAGATGACTGAGTCCAAGTAGTATAGAATTATTTTAATATGTGTAACTCATTAAGGTATTTCAAGGGAACAATATTTTATTAAAATATAGCAAAAGTCCATCATTTGCAGTTGTCAGTAATCTCTGTGCTCCTCAGTTTCCTTAAGTCTAAAATCGGAGATGTATCTATCTGTTTCACAGGCTTTGGGAAGCCTTAGCTGGAATAATGTATTTAAAGCTCTTATAGTTGTGTTTGGATTGTAGTTAGTGCTTAATAATTTCTTCTGTTTTGAAGTACTGGAATTTGAACTCAGAGCCATTTTTGCTTCCTAGGCAGGGGTTCTAACAGTTGAACCATACTCCCAGTCTGATAAATGTTAATACTTACTATTTCATCCCGTTTTTGTCCTGACAGTATAGAATTACATTTTAAATGGATTAGGTTTCAAAAATATTTGATTTAGTGTTAATAAGGAGGAAAAATGACCAGTGATTTCTTTATGACTGTTCACCACATATTATTATTGAACACAAAATTCTCTTCAAAATCTATTAATGACTCATTAACACAGTGTATAGATTTGAGCATAATTTACAACTCCACAATATTTTCAGTACAGTTAGTTTAGACTAGTATTAGACCAAATCATATCGTTAAGAACCAAATAGCGTAATTAATTATGACTTGGCATAATTAATTTTTTGCCTAAAGCCTATGTTTGAACATAGGAAAATTAAATGTGCTTTCATTCTTTTTTACTCCTGTGTAGTACTCTTTAGTTTATTTACCATATAGCCATTCAAATTGTTTCCTTTTAAAAGAATATTAATTGTAAATAATGCTGCAGTGAATCTTCTCATGCATATTCATGATATGAAATTCTGACTTAACTGAAATAAAATAATTGATGGCAAAGACAAAGTAATGCATTAAAACACTGGTCTTTTTTCTCTTTTCTTACACTATCTTACACTAGATATGGCATTCCAAAAGAACATTGTGTGCAGGGGGAAAGACTAGGGTTGAATGGAATACACAAGAAAAGCTTCAGATTTTGAAAAATATAAGTTAATAGAATCATGTCAACTCAGAGTTCCTGCTATGTGTTCTAAAATGTTTCTGAAAAAAACAAAGCTGGGGGACTGTAATGTCCTGTGTTCTAATCTCCATCCTTATAGAACATTCCTGAATATGAGCCAGCTTCTACTTGAACATTTTTAGATAGGAAACCTTCCTGTTTAGAAAGCAATAAAAATTCAGTTAGAAGCAAAAAGTTCCTGAACTTTTATCATCATTGCTAGGTTTTCTTTCTAAGTCTATACAGAATAAGTCTAACTTTTTTTCATTAGTCTTTTAGTTAACTTGTGTCCTTATAAGATCTGTCAAACTTAATTTTCAATTCTAATTCACATTTTTGATTCCCTTCCATGTTTTATATGTTACTTATACTTCTGTATCCTCTGCAGATTGGATACAGGTAACACATACACATAGGTCAAGAAGACAGGGCTGGGGGTCAGACAGGCTGAAGTGAACATCCTCGTCTGTCATTCATTAATATAATTCTGAGGTGGCATAACCTTTGAAAGCCTGTTTTCTCATCTGTGTAATGGAATTATCGTATTTCTTCAAAAAGATGACTAGAGGAATATATGCGATAATTGGTGAAGAATGCTTACCACAATGCAAACAATGTTAAGTGTTCAGTAAATTGGTAGGGTAGCAGGGAAATAATGATGGTCATTTTATATTTTTCAAATTAGTGATTTAAAAAAGTAGAAAGAGATCAGCGTGGAACCCTGAGATAGATCTTTCTGGTTAATCAATTCATTAATCAGAATTTTCTGAGTGCGAGTGTTTATTTAACTATGACTCTTTAGCTTGCATTTCTACAATTTGTCAAGACAATTCACTCGCTCATTCTTCGTTCAGTAACATGACTCTGCAGTGACCAAGGAGAGATCGGGTTTCCATTCGCTGCAGAGAGCGTCTGTCAGTTGCCTTGCTGACAGCCCCATCTGTGATGACATCGGCATTTCCTTGATTTGTTACACATCTAACCACTCTTTCAAAAAAAACCCCAAAAATCTTATTTCCAAATGACTCAATAATGGCCATTTTTTAGCTTTGAAAAACAGGAGTTTGATTTTTTCATTTTGTTTTTGTAATATTTTATAGCATTTTGCTGGAGGCTGATGTTAAGTTCATCTGTTGTCATTCTTTTGCAATCCATCATCTCCCCTGTGTGGAGGTCAGTTTGTTTTAGCTTCTTTACTGCAGTGACCTTCAGTCATTTGCTCAGTTCCTGAGTTTCTGTGCCCTTCTTTCAGTAAAGATAATGGTCCTTATCTACCTGTGAGCTGAGGAGAGGGTCACATTCCATTATGTAAAAATAAGACATTTGTGAACTTTAGAAGGCTATGCAAATGTAAGCGGATATCATTGCTATTTGTTCCCATGTTAGTTTTCAGTTTTGTGGGGTTTTTTGATGGTACTGGGACTTAGGCCCTTCAACTTGAGCCACTCCACCAGCCCTATTTTTGTGATAGGGTTTTTTGAGATAGGGTCTCATGAACTGTTTGCTCACTTCAAACTACAGTACTCCTGATCTCTGCCTCCTGAGTAGCTAGGATTACAGGCGTGAGCCACTGACACCCAGTTTATCATCAGTTTTAAACTTCAGAGGCAGAAGTCATTCCTGATCTTCTTTATTTTCTCTTGAGAATTACTAGATAACTTCCTCTACTATTTTTTTCTCTTTCTAAGCCATACCCTTATTATTCAGAATTATGGTGTTATTTAAACATTTCCTTCTACTCCTCACATTTAACTTTTATCCACACTGAGTTGACTCTTGTCACATGCTGTGCTCCTGTCTTTGTGGGATGAAGGAAACAGTCCTGCTTTTCATTTTCTCCTGTGTAGGTGGGTACTCGCCTCTTGGGTTCCACATTCAGCTGGCATGAGAAATCAAACTTCTGCCTGTGCCCATGTCTTTTAGTTTCCATACCAGAGTCTCCAGTCATTGTAATGTGTACTTAATGCTTCATTAGTGAGAGCATTCCTGGTTATATTTGTCCATGAAGTCTCATGGTGGGGCAGTCTTCTGTTTGGGGTTCCTGGAAGACCAGGGTCTCTTTGCCTTGTTCTAAAGCAGGTCTTCTTTACCAGTTCTTCTTGATAATTGCTAGTTTATTAGTAGCCCTCAGTGACTTGTACAGCCTTGGTTTGAGTTCAGCTCTTTTCAATAAACATCAGATAAATAGAGAACTGAGAGGCCAATACTTCAAGTCAAGATTTCCCTTCAAGCCTATGGTTGCAACCAAAACTGGTATCAATCTTTTGGTAATAATCAATGTAATAACTAACATTTAGATTCTCTCACTAAGGGCTTTGGCTGTGAGCAGTTGGAGAGGTATTTATCACAGATAATTTTTATAATTCATTTCTTTTGCTTTTCTCTGCCCCTACCAATGACATGAAGAGACACCTGGCAAAGGAAGGGAAATGACAAAAGGACAGCCTGAAGCGTGTGTGTGTGTGAGTGCACGTGTAAGTGGTGGTGGCTGAACATGGTGTTGATGATTCATTGTTGGCTCATAAACCTCTATTCTTTTTTAGCCCACTGGCAGAAAGACTGAAAAAGCAGGAGCAAAAAGCTAGTCAAAGTTGCATAACATCCTGACTGAGAAAGTTCTAGGGTCCTGTATTGCTTGAGTTCCAGTTCTGGCTCTAGTTACAAGATTTTGGACATGTTATTTCATCTCTCTCTGTCTGTGGACTTGTCTCTTATCCACAGAATGGAGATGATAGTTCTGACTTCACTTTGAAGGTGTTACCTAGATTATTGTATGTAAAATACATAGAGTGAGTTACATTATTTATAATGTTTAGAATAGTTCTTTGCACTATAATTATGACAGTATTTGTTTTGCAACATGAGATAAAGCTACAGATAATCAGCAGGGTCTTAGTAAGTGGGAAGGTTAATGGAATTATACAATGACTTGTATACATAATTTGGGGCTTTCAGATGACACCTATAATATATGTGAGGTCCTTGTGATTTGTTCCTCCTGAGAGTAGTTGTAGTGGCAGGGACAGTAATAATGATGGTGACTACCTTACATTCACCCTTCACATCAACACTGTGAGATGGATGCTGTTGCTCTCACAGACCCGTGGGTGAGGAGACTGGCTGTTAAACTCACTAATAGCAGGCTCCAGATCACAGAGGCAGTGTCTGTTGGAGCTGGAGTGCAAGCCAGGGAGTCTGCCTCAAGAACGTGAACTTTTTAGGCACTACCCTGAGTTGCATCTTTAAGGTGTGTTCAGACAGTATTGTCTCTGTTCATTCAACAGCCTCCTCACAGAGGCGTGGAGGGAGACTTGAGTTTTACTAAAGGTGATTAGTTTTAACCTTGATGATCAGGACATGAAACTTCAGGTTTGAGTAATGTCAGAGATTGTTAATCTTTGTTTTTCCATTTCTCTTTTAGATATCAGTTTTTCTTGCAGGTGAAGCAAGATGTCCTTCAGGGCCGGCTGCCCTGCCCTGTCAACATTGCTGCTCAGCTGGGAGCATATGCCATCCAGTGTAAGCATAATTGCTTCAGAATGCCTAAAGAAAATAAGTGATTTTTTTCCTTGCATAAAATATGCAAGTTTATATTCTAAAGCTCTTCTTATCAAATGACATTTTACAAAAAATCAGAACCCAGGTTTTGACAAGTATCCCTTCAGAGAAGGTAAAAATGGAGCCAGGCCTACTAAATACCTTGTAGTAGGTTGTATAAGATTTTAGTTTCAGGATTCTCATTGGTTCTTGATTAAGTGGAAGGTCTAAAAATTTCTCCCCACTCTGCATCCCACCTGAGTTCAGTAAATCTTCAGGCCACCAACCCTCCCTGTCAAGCTGTTAACGTCTCAGGAATCATATCGCTCTGGCCAGCTGCTGCGAAGACTCCACATGGTCAGGAGCCAGCACCAAGTTCAGTGTGGCATGCATTTGGTACTCAGTGCACTTTAGTTCTTGACATTCATATGGGGTGGCTCGGGGTTGTGTTGTCTTTTAGGAGACTAAGGATGAGATTATTGCTATTGATAATTATTGAACATCTTTTAAGAATCAAACTAGGTATGGGCAAAATGAGAAGCTTGGTTCTTGCTTTTGAGATATTTGAAGATCAGGAATTATATAGAAAAAATATCCTAGGAAATATCTGGGCTTGGAAGGGAGATTAACATAGGAGAGGAGAGTTTTTTTTTCTTTTTTTGGTGCTACTGGGATTTGAACTCAGGGTCTTGCATTTGCTACATAGGTACTCTCCCACTTGAGCCACACTCCAGCCCTTTATGCCTTTGTTATTTTTTGAATAGGATCTTGCATTTATGCCTTGCCTGGCCTAGACTATGATACTCCTATTTATACTTCTCACCTAGCTGGGATGACAGGCATGGACCGCCATGCCCAGCCATTGGTTGAACTGGCCTGAACAATGATCTGCCTGATCTCCACCTCCTTAGTAGCTAGTATTATAGGCATGAACCACCATGCCCAGCTAGGGAGGAGAATTTTTATAGGAGTGGTATAGTGAGCTTTCTAGTTTCATTTTGCTTTTTTGTGTAAATGGTAATAGGATATGTGTAACATTGTATTGTTTCTGGGACCATATATGGCGCATAGATGTTTTGAATCACATGTTCTCTCTTGGTCTTATTGTCTGAGAGGATACATTGGGGACATCTCCAGCATTTCTAATATATATACATATATATGTGTGTGTGTATATATATATATATATATATATATGTTTATAAGCATTTTGTGCTCATGTACACTTTATTTCATGTAAACTGATAAGAATAATTGAAATAAAGTGGTGATACTTAGAATCTCTGGGAAAGTGGGAATGTAGAATTTACATTTTATGTCAAGATTTTGCTTATACCATTGATATATGCTCATTAGAGTTGTTTTACTGAAGTTATTTAATAGTTGTATATGAATTTTATCAAAAAGGCATTTGAAGAAAAAATGTTTCAGCATGATAGGAATATTTTATATAATTTTAGAAGTACTTTCCTAAAATAGAATAAAATTTTAATTTCTGGTTTTTTTCCAGCTGAACTTGGAGATTATGACCCATATAAGCATACGACAGGGTATGTGTCAGAGTACCGGTTTGTTCCTGATCAGAAGGAAGAACTTGAAGAAGCCATAGAGAGGATCCATAAAACACTAATGTAGGAATCACGTCTTACGCTGCATCAGCCATCCGTCACCACTGTAGGCTATTGACATCATAAGAAAAGTTTCTAGAACAATAGATTCTTCACCTGTGTCTTCAGCATTCTAGCTTTCTTTCTTTATGTATATTTACCGTTTCTAACACTAAAATGTTCATCAAAACCTCCAGCAATTAAATCAGATTAAGGAGAAGGTAAATTAGAATACCTAAAGTCACCATAGTTTAGGTTTAATGGTCTGTCTATGCACAATTTCCCAGAGAAAATTTATTTTGTCTAGATTTGTGTACCATGATTTTACACCAGTGGAATGACTCTGTAAGAACTGTGTTTTGCAGTCTTTTTTTTTTTTCAGCTACCAGTACATTGTGAGTTTTAAATACTACTTTTAAGTGTGAAAATAACCCAAGTGCTTCAATGTATTACAGACTTGCTCTATGTTAAGTAGGTAAATTCTTCAGTTAGAAACAGGGTCCTGTTCGGGCACTGGCCATGAATCTGGAAGCCATGATGGCACTAGTGTGTACTCTCTGAAGGCGTTGTGCTCACACCACATGCACTTCTGAGAATAGATGGGCTCCCCTAGTAGGATTTTCAGTGAATAGCCTGAAGGAAGTTATAATTTAATTGTAGTTATTTTGGTTAACTCCTTTATACTGGTTAACTTTGCTTTTTTCCTTCTTATGTCACAGTCTCCTTTGAATGTACTTGGTTTCAGATCTGTTATAGTTAAGAAAAATGTAGAATTAATCTGCTCAACAGAAATGTTTGCTTAAAGGATCTGTTTTAGTGAGCAGAGGCAGAAGTCAATTGCTGAACGGCAATCAGAGAAACCAGGCTGTTCCTTTTGTATCAGCATGTGCTTGACGCTCTCCAGCCTGATTATTGAGCCCTTCATTTTAAGTGGATGCTGAGAGAGCCCTTGTTATGACATTATGAAGGGCTGTATATTTGGTACCATCAGAGAATACTGATTTTACTAGGAGTTTCAAAGCACAGCTGTATTTTGAAATTATCAGGCAGCTTTAAGTAAAAGCCCTCATACATGTTTTATGTGATAGTGTGGACATTTTTTAAATTAGTAATAAAGCATGCTCAATGAAGGTTTGGTACCTTTCTTGTGTCTAATTTGTGATGAATGTTCTTCATAGATTTTTTAAAAGTATGCTATATTGCTGATTTTCAGTGCATTGTGACTGAAATAAGGGAATGCATCAAAGCAGAATTTCTTGATTTTTAGAAATCCGTAGCTCTTTGTTAACCATTAAAATCTTGCAGTCCTCCCCCCTTGCCCCCCGCATATTTTCTCTCTCTCTCTCTCTGTTAATTTATCCGTGGAGATTCCTGGCAGATGCTTCCCTTCCCTCATTAGGAATGAGTGCTGTTTCTCTGTATTATCATCGTGATGTTTTGGGAAGATTTCTGCACTGTGTTGAGAAAATGACAAGCACTCTTAAAATTTCTGTATGTTAACTAATGTGTTTCCAAACTATACCTATGCTTAGGAGCTGTTGACTGATTCTGTGGGGTGGCGGGGCTATTCCCCTCCTCCTCACACTGGGCTAGCTCTTTTTGCTTTGATGCAGAGCTACCAGTGCATGGAGACATTGTGTTCTTTGTGAAGTGGATGCTTTTTACTTTGAGTGCTTATATTCTCAGTAACCTCTTTGGGGGTTTTTGAAACTGTGAATTTTTAATATATGCTGGGAGTTTGAGTATATGCCCTAAAGAACAAGAATAGATCTGGTAAATGAAATTAATAGAAGTATCACCTCAGAGTATTAACATTTTGTCACCAAGAAGGCAAAGTCCTTCCTGAAATACAAAGTCTTAGGTTTGCAGTAGTACAAAAGATTATTTTTCCAGCTAATACAGTGGAGATGGTTACATCCTTTTTAAGTGCACTAGCCATCAGTGAAGTCAAGCTCTTTGTTTTTGTGCTGTTGTAGGGGTCAGGCTCCATCTGATGCAGAGCTGAATTACTTGAGGACAGCCAAGTCCCTGGAGATGTATGGTGTTGACCTCCATCCTGTCTATGTAAGTAACATTTAATTAACGCAAAATATTTTAAGTTGATGACATTTTTTCTTAAAAAGTCATGGCACTCCCTGAGGAAAGCTGCAGTTCTCTTGTTTGACAAGCAGATGATACTTTTTCATCTGTGTTTTTCACACACAAAGTAGCTCTTGCATGGATTAAACCCTAATGAGTTTTGCATAAAAGTCTGTGATTATATTTCCATGTGTAGAAAACAATTAACTGGGTTTGAAAACACAATCTGGATAACAGCTCCAAAGGGTTTAGCTGAATGTCAAAACAATCTAAGATTGGTCTATAATTGATCGTGTTAGATAGAAAGCAGGAGAATTTTCCAAAAATATATTTTTTGGCTGAAAAACACAAGAAAAGTTACTTGCCAGGTAATGCAGGCATTAGGCAGCAGTCCATGAACTGTTCTGTGTTGGATGGGCAGGTTCTGTTGATAGGAGGGTTACTGCCTACTATAGCAATCACTGCATTTATAGAAATTTTTTTTGCATATTTTCTTCAGTGGATGAAAACTGGTCAAATGTAGTCAGCAGTCACACTGGATCCAGGTCTTACCTTTGAGCCATTTCTGTTAGACTACTAATTGATTATTCTATACCAGTGAGATTGAAATGCCGTTGCTTTTGATTTCACAAGCATGTAGTTAGCAATAACATTTGATTATTTGAGAAAACAAGCTAAGTGCCTTATTCTTTATAGGAAATGAATTGCTAAAGCATATATGCAGACTTACTCTTTGTCAATGGGATCATGAAACTCAATACTTAAGGAACCCAGATAAAGCTTTCTCTAATGCAAATAACTCATGTATTCATTCATTTTATAATACGTCTTTTGCTCATCAGGGCGTCCTGGAACAAGACTCCATCTCATATTATTTTTAGAGGATTAGAAGCATCTGTGGGTACACAGTCAATGTGGCAATAAAAGTTACAGATTGGGGAAGAGTAGTTCCTTGATATCAGATTCCAATCTTACTAGGCCATTAAATGCTTCAAGTACCATCCTTTAAGAATACCACTAAGCCAGGTATGGTGGTGCACACCTATCATTCCAGCACTCAGGAGCTTGAGCCACGTGATCACAAGTTCAAGCCTTGCCTGGGCTGTTACATAGCAAGAACCTGTCTTTAAAAAATAGAAAAAGAATACCTCTAAAACTTTGTGGAGTAGTTATCTTTCCCTTTGTTAGTTTTTCAGGTTTCTTCAAAAAAAAAAAAAAAAAAAACCACCAACAAAAACCAAAGAGCAAACAAGCAAAAGTAATCTGTACCACAATCAAGCTTTTGGTGGGAATTTCTAGGAAATGAGCTAGATTTGTTAGAATCTTCCGTATATTGCCTTTAGATTGAATTTCTGGAGCTGAAAGTTGGCAACAGCTGGTATTGTTTCAAAATATATAAGTGATCTTACGTTCTTGTGAATGTAACTTTGCAGGCCATTATGTAGTTCTGTACATGTTCTTGATATCCACTCTGTGGTTTTTCATTTCAGAATCACATTTTCTTTTTCGTTTTTTTTTTTTATCCTGTTATTGTTGTACTGGGGATACATTGTGACATTTACAAAAGTTCTTATAATCTATCATAGTTAAATTCATCCCTTTCCTCATTCTCCTTTATCCCCTCTCCCCATATTCCCGAAAGGGTTTCAACAGGTCTCATTTTTCCATTTTCATATCTGAGTGCATAATATCTCCACTACATTCACCATCGTACACCCTTTCAGGATCACATTTTCTTAATTAAGATTTATCATTGCCTGGAAATTAAGGTTCTCTAGTCTTTATCAGAAAACACTGTTTTTAAGTTTTCAAGCAGTTTTAAAGTTACAAGTACAGGTAGGAGGGAACATGGCAGATCAGACAATTCAAGTATATGTCTGCAGGTTTCTGCCTGAATGTTCTGGTGACGGTAGTGGTGGTGATGAACTGGACCTCAGGATTGTCCACATCAGAGAGAAAAATCAGGAGGAGGCATTTGAGAACAGCCTCCGTGGAAGCTGTGGCTCTCAGTCCTTGGCTATGGGTGAATCACTTGGAGATCCTACGTGGTTTTGGTACTATGGTCCCTTCTCTAGAGCTTCTGATTAACTTGTTTTGGTAGCACTTGATCATCAGTGTTTTAACCTGCATGGGTGATGCCAATTAATGTGCAGGTAGGGCTAAGCACACTTCGTGAGCAACATTAGGTAAATGAGGCAGTGGCATGGTTGATAGTCAAGTTTCCCTTTATGAAGTGAAGTTACAAGTATGAATTAGCACTAAGAAAAGTTCTCTCAAGAACTTTGAAAGAAAATGAGCATCATATTAGCTACTGGCATAGCTTAGCTAGCTTTTTAGAATGATATTTTTCAAAAACTAAACCAAATATTCCAACAAGTTACATTTATATGATCAGTTATAGTTATATCAAGAGCTTTTATGTGAATAAATTCATGGTTTGGGTCGTATGTTTGTTTTTTCAGGGAGAAAACAAGTCTGAGTATTTCTTAGGATTAACTCCAGTTGGTGTTGTTGTCTACAAGAATAAAAAGCAAGTGGGGAAGTATTTCTGGTAGGTATAAATTGACAATGCAGTTGGTGTGAAAGTTATCCACTGTGTATTGAGCTGATGGGGTTTGTGTATCTGTGAAAAAGTTGGGGAAAAGAAAACAGGTACATTTTCAGTAGTAAACAAATGTGTGAAATTGGGTGTAAAGTTTTGTTCAGTGTACCTCAGTATATAATTTTCTTTGTGGTTTTCTGTGGTTTTAGACTTTCTGTTTGTGTGTGTAAACTGTGTTGTGGTTTTCCCAGCTTCTCCAAGGTGTGGGCTGTAGATTCAGGACTTAGTTCTGAGTTCTAGCTCTGACGGGCAAAGGATTGGAGGGATTGGGGAGCCTGTGGCCCTGCACTTGTCTAGGAAGGCAGCATTGTCAGGGTCTGGGGATGCCAAGCTTGTTTGTGTATTTAGTGGAGAAGCATAGGACAGTGAGAATGGAGGATGTCCAGAGCAAAGGACATACAAAGAACACTCCACAGTCCCTGCAGAAGTATATAAAGGAGCCAGTCTTTTTCTACTAGATACTTCTTTGAATTTCTGAAAGACTAGTTCTTAAACAAAGCAACAAAAACACTATCTGCTTTGTTTTTCAGGCCTCGGATTACAAAGGTTCACTTCAAGGAGACTCAGTTTGAACTCAGAATTCTTGGAAAAGATGTAAGTTTTTGTGAATATTTAGCTTACATGTGAAGGGGAGGGTCTTGACTGCTCATTTATAACTTAAAAGACTTTGTGAAATTAAGCTACCAGGTTTTCTCCAGCTGCAGCCATGTGGAACCAGGTTAATTAACTCACACGTGCAACTTCTCAAGTAAAGGAAGAGGGAAATGTGTAGAAATGAATAAGATGGTAATGGGGAAATGTCATTTTGGTTTTAGCTAATGAAAGCAAGCTCTCTCTAGGCAGAGGAGAGAATAGTAGGTGATTATTGTTATTACTGTAATTTGTTTTTCAGTACTGTCTGTGAAGGTAGGATTCTCATAATCTGAAAGATATAGCCTGCAAAAATGTGTCCTGATTTTTGTAAAGTAAATTAATCGACCTGTTGGGAGTCACATGACTGCCTTTTCCTCCTTGAGCATGATAGACTGACCCAATAGAAGTTCTGGATACCTTCAAGGGAGAGCATAAGGCGAGGGTGCAGAAATGCTGACCTTGGCTGCCCCTGGCAGTGTTTCGGTGGCAGGTGCTTGAGTGCCAGAACATGGTTGCACTTTCATGCCTTGGCAGGACACTTTTAGGAAACTGGTCAAAGAAGACAAGGATGTGAAAGCTTCCTCTTGATCTGACTATGAAAATGATGTTCCCTTGAAGTGCTATTAGTTTAATCCTTATGGGTGAATGGGTGAAAATATGATAGAGGAGAATCCATTTGTCCATAGGTTTTGATAATAACTATGCAGAACAGAAATTAAGTGTGACTGGAGTCGAATTGACTTGTATGTGCACACCTGGGGAGTGCACATGGGACCTGGCAGAGCACCTCAGGTGTAGTAGGTATTCTGTAGTACCTGTTGAATGATTAAAGAACTAATTATTGAGGCTATGTATTGCCAAATCAGAAAATCTGGTGCTATTTATTCTCCTTGGAGAGAAAACCCTAGTTTCCTGCTCTGAACTATATGGTATTCTGGTATTTATTGACAAAATTAAAATTGGGTCTTAAAATGAGTTTGAACCTGGAAGGAAGGATAATTCTAGATTTTAAAAGAAATGGTAGTCCAAAAGTCATATATAGCAGATTTTTTTTGCGGGGGAATACTGAGGTTTTAAATCCTTGCACTTGCTAGGCAGAAGCTCTGCCACTTGAGCCATGCCCCCAAGGTTTCTCTGCTTTAGTTATTCTTCCAGTAGGTTTTTGCACATTTTGCCTGGGGTCAGCCTCACATGTCGATCCTCCTGCCTACACCTCTTGTGTAGCTAGGCTTGCAGGTTTGAACCATCATGCCTGCCTTGTTTGTTGAAATAGGGCCTTACTAACTTTTTGCCTGAACTGACCTTAAACTGTGATCCTCCTGATCTCTGCCTCTTGAGTGACTGGTATTATAGGTGTAAGCCATGAGACATGGTACCTGGTCTACATAGTAGCTTTTCATGGTGTAGTTTGGAAAAAATCTGATGTGTTCTTCAACTCCTGGCTAGACATGTCAATCTTAAAAGATATGCTAATATATAATTGAATTGAAATCATTTAAAAAATAGAGTAGCTAATTAGATAGTAGAGTTCTGTAGTTTTCTCCCTGTCCTGCCACTGGGTTCACATGATTTAATGGAAGGATAAGGCCTGTTAAATATATTGAAAATAATGTTTTCAAGTTTATTTTTTTTAGCAAAATATGATAATAAAGAAATAGGACTTCTCATGGAGGCATTACTACTATTCAAAGTGTTCTTTCTTCTTATACCTAAGTTATTTTTGTGAGTGAGGTCCTTTGGTGAGCTACCTTTTTTTTCTTCTTTGAGACAGGGTCTTGTGTAGGTCAGGCTGGCCTTGAACTTGGGATCCTTCTGCCTCAGCTTCTCAGTGCTGGGTTTTCAGATGTGTGCCACCATGCCTGGTTTTGGTGGATTATTTTTATATTATTATTCTTATGGTGCTTTAAAATGTCTTTTACTGTTTCAAGAAAAATATTTGGTAAAGTCACAGTTCACATGAACTTTCAGCTTCTTAGACTTCTTCAGTGTAAGGCAAACATAACACAACAAAATTAATATCATTATGTTACTTTTCAGTGGTGGTATCTGTGATGCAACCCAGTATCCAAATAGTCCACTCTGTTCCCTTCCTTCCCCAGATTCTAGATGACAGCATGGATGTTTGGAGAGGCCTGAGCCACTCCTTACGGCCCCTCATTCGTTAAAGCCCAGTGTCAGTAATCATTAGTAAGGTTGCAAAGAAGGACACTTAACTCAGAGGCTTGAATCAAAGGGATTTGATTAATTTAACCAAAACACTCTGTTTCCTTAGTGTTCCTGCTACAGGGTTGTTTTTTTTTTCCCCCTTCCTTTCTCTACCAGGGTACCCCTCTGTGAGACAGTGATTTCCATAATGGTAGAATTAAGTTGATTATTATGGAGGCCTAAGTGTAATCACAGATTGAATTAAACAGCCCCTTAAAGCCCATCACCTGGAACAGTAATCACATTCAGCTTGAAAAATGGTCCAAATGCTTATTCTGCTGGTTTTCTGGTCTGCTGGTTTGGTAAAGAGACTTAACTCATATGTTCAGTGTTTTGCAGCCAAATTCAGAGACACTTCATTCATTATTCACATTTCAGAATAGGCATGTGGCTTAAATAACACCGCACAAAAAATATGAACTTTAAGTACAAATATTTTATGTGATGTTGGTAGAAAATCTGGAAAATACATAACATATTATTAATATTTTGTCACTTGGCTCCAGATTTCAACCCATTACTGTGAATGTGTCATGTGTGAACATGTACATGCATGTAGATGCAGATCATTCTCTGTATGATTTTGTATATGCTTTTTAAATTTTTATTATTTTATTTTTAGTTTTTAGTATATTATTTTTTTATGAGTTTCCCTTCTTGTTATATCTATTCATATGTGCCTGTGTGGTGTTTGATAAGTTTTGTTTTATTTTACTTTTTTTCTGGTGATTTTGGATGCAATCTTTTCTTCCTATCGTATTTTCTAACTTTTTTCATTTTTTTGAGATAGGGTCTTGCTAGGTAGCATAGGCTGGCCTCAAACTTACTTTGTAGCCTGGGTTGGTTTCAGACTTGCAGTCCTTCTGCCTGGAATTACACACCAAGGTCTGCTTCACCATATCTGGCATCTAATTTTTGCTAGATGTGAAAGCTCTGAAATTTTATATGTTTGTCTCAGATCTGGACATTTTGTCCAATTCTTATGTTCCAGCCAAGAGTTCTTAATTTGATTTTCATAAACTTTCATAGCTAGAGGGTGATATAATTTTCTATTGAAAGTAATTTATTCTTTTGTTATTTATGCCTCATCTTTAATAGCATTGGTCAGAACCCTTCTTGAAGTGTTAAGTGATCAGCAACATAAGGCAGACTTGATGGTGGTAGTGATTCTGTTTCCCATCCTCTATCTTTAATGAATGCAAGAAATGACAGTGGCTCTATCCCAGTGCAGCAGGGTAGCAGTGGTCACAAGACTGAGAAGCTATTGGATTCTCCACTTAGCCACCCAGGGTTTCCTGGAGGAGGGGAGATATGAGTGGAGTCCTGGTAATTTAAAGGTGTTTGGTCTGAAGGGTAGGAAGGATGGAGCTGCCATCAGACAAGATTAGCGCAGGTGTGGGAGGAGAACTTACTGAATTTGAGATGTTTTTAGACATCTAAGTTGAGAAATATTGACTAAAACATGGGTTATATGAGCCTAGAGTTCAGGATCAAGGTCTGAGCAGAGTAGACAAATTTGAGAATCATTACTATATCCTAGTATTCAAATCCACAAGACTACATGAAATCATTACAGGAATGAGTACTGATCATAAGAGTGAGAACCAGAAAAGAAGGCTGAGAGGGATCAGCCAGTGAGGTGAAAAGAACACTAATTATCCTCGATGCCAGGTAAAGGTCCTGTGTTGAGGAAGTGTGACATAATGCTGGTATGTCCATTAACGTCAGGACAGAGAAGTGACCACTGAATTAGAAATACAGGACATCATTGACAAGACCAGTTTCAGTGAGTTGGAAGAGTGAGCTTCAACCCAGTAGTTTCACTGTTAGGAACTTATGCACTGGAGAGACACAGGAGGCATGTATGTCTGTGTAGCACTTAAGTAAAAGTTAAAAAATTAAAATAACAAAAGTCCGTAACTAGGAGAATGAACAAATAGATTGATGCATATTCATTTTGAATAAAAGAGAAGTAATAGTAGGAAAAGAATTGGAGATGCTGAGTACAGGCAGCTCTTTTGAGGACTTTTTACACAAAGTGGGTAGGTAGGAATGTAGCTGGCAGGGACTTCAGGAGCACAAGCATGAGAGGGATGACTTGAAAATGGCAACCCTTATGAGAATGTGCAGGTGACATAAGCTGGGAGCTTTAGGGGAAGGACAGAAAACATTCTGAAAGCAGCACTGGGGAGCAAGGAGGGTCTTCCCTCACTTTTAGGCACTGTTGTGAGAGCAAGGGGGACAGAAGACACAGTACCACTTGGGAGGAAGATGTGGAAACTGTGTACTCAGGGGAGAGCCAGGTTTCTATTGGTGCAAGAGGATGAACGCAGTGTAAGAGAACAGACTGGGGAGTTAGGGGATTTTGTCAATGAGAAGCCTGAATTCCAGAGGGCATAAAAGGGTAGGTTTTAGGAGTTGGATAGTGGTAGAGAATAGGACAGACTAGGGAGATGGGGACAGTTAATGTGCTGAGCATTATTTGGGGTTAACTGACATAAACACAGGGAAGACGCATATTGAGCTAGGAAGGCAGAGGAAGCTAGATGGGCTATGAATATTGGAGGGGATCGACAGCTGGGTTTCCTTGTCTGTCTGTTCACCCAGATGATGGCGTAGAGGACTTAGGGTTGGGGGAGCATGTACTGACTAGTCAGTCTGACTGTTCTCTGGGAGGGCCTCTTTTACTTGTGTGCATGTACTCGATCTTGACACTTGTGGTGGACTTGAGGATATAGTGGGAAAATGCATGTTAC